CTGCACCCAGGAACACCAGCCCTTACATTCACACCCTGCATCAAAGAAAACCCCGACACGCATAACAAATCCTCCTGGTAAAGGAGACAACTTGAAACCAAACCCCCAGATACCCTCTGTCCGATTCACCGTCTCCAATAACACATAAAGAAACTCCCTCTGTTGGCAAATGATTCCTGTAAGCCCTGCTCGGCGTGCTGAGGTCAGTGTGTTTGGTACCCGAACGGCAAGCAGAGCTTTTGTGCTCATTATAAAATATTCCATTAAATGCATCAATAACGCATACCAGTATGGAGAAAATATTTGTTTCTGGGATATTTAAGGGTGGGGAATATTATTTCATCCAACCAGTTGGTAACAAAAGTCTTTTGCAGGAAAATACAGATATACATATAACAAAACCATGCTTCTCTTTTAAAAACTTGGTTATACCACATTATTTTGCAATATGCATAACATGGATTTTTTTAAGCTGTCTGGGCTCTATATTTACAAGCTCTGAAGCATTCTGATGGATGCAGTATTATCCAGGCTTATTGTAGTAGGTTTTTATGGTCACCGCTCATTTTTATGGCATATATTAAGCTAATTATGGAAACTTTCCAGGATGTTTTCAAAACTTGTTTGTTGCAATTCTTTGTAATGTACTACACAAACACCATTCCTAATGTTTCTTTTCCTTTTCCATACAAACAAGTGAAAATAATATAAGTGTACAATGGTTGCTATTTCTGGAAATAGCACGAAAAACGTTTCCAAGCACATAGTGTTTTCAAATGTTCAAAACCAGGTAAATAATTTGGAAAACAATAATAAAAGAACTGGAAAAACACTGCTGAGAAACCTTCCATTCATGTATGCCTATCTTTGTGCATGAATTTTAAGTGTTCCTCAGGCATTTTCAGCAAACAGGTTACAAAGTCACATGTTTGAATATTCACATGAAAATAACCTGAGCAGTCACCTAATTCAAAAATACAACATCTTGCAACATGGAATATTTGACCCACTACAACCAAACACCTTCTGCCTTATTACATACACCAGGATGGGCTTTTGAAACTTTTCAGTGATTTCACACAGTATGAAAACCATTGGAGGCAGCTTCAATATTTTAGTTAAAAAAATGAAGCGAATAACCTGATTCGGGCACTATCGCTACAAGCAGGTCTTTGTGCCTGAGACCAGCCTGTTTAATGTTTAACTCAGGTCTAAGTTATGGCTTTTGTTAAAGGTGGACTCAGCTGTTCAGTAGCTTTTTTTTCTCCGTAGTCTATGATCTTAGGAACCCAATTATCTGGAAACACATTAAAAACAAATGTGAATTTTTTTTTTTTCCTTCTCTCTTTCCTCTCCTCCCCCTTCCATCCATCAGGTTTGAATTAAGAGCCTTACAGGTAAATATTGATTTTGGAAATATTCAGTATATTATGAGTCATAGCTAAAACACTATTACACAAAGTAGCAAGGTTTTGAGAAAAAGAAATTCTAAAGCTTATGAAAGCCATCTGTAAAGAAAATCCATGAAGATCAGCAAGTCTTCAATCAGTAAGAACACTGCATTTTGAATGTAGCGGCGTTTCTCCCCCCTCCCCATTCCTTAACACTGTATCTGTGTGTTCAAAGCACATTTCAGATGAGAGAGAAATCTTGCTTCTGGCTAGGAGACCTCTGCACTTTCTTGTCACTTTGAGTCTCGAGGAACATTTCTGACCCTGCTAAGAGACCCCATCTATCACATCCAGAGCACACCTCAGACACCTGGACCATACTTGAATACTGAACCAGCAGAAAACGGGCTTTTCATAGAATGGATTTGAGACCACGCAACTACCACTAAGCACCTGGGGAGGGCTGGGGAACGTACTGACCAGGAAAAAGCAAAAACCCTCAGAAGTAACTAATACAGTCTTTTTAACCTTGGACAAATCAACCAAAAAGGCAAATAAACTACAGATTGCCTAGCTAGCCATAACAGTCTGAAGCTGGCATCGCAAACCAAGCTATTCCTTTCTCCTGATACCTTTCTGGAAACAATAGGCTCATAGCCAGGTGTTCAGGCATGCTGATGGGCAGGTTCTTCTTGATCTGCTGGCAGATGCGGCCAAGCACAGCATCTGTAGGACGATATTCCTCTGCTCCCAGAGTCAGTCAAAGCCAGGAAACAGAGCGTGATTAAAGTCATGGGAGCGATGAGTCCAGAAAGACCCTTCAGAGATCATAAAGGAGACCCAGTATATCCACGGAGCTGCAAATAGATTAAGGTGCCAGGTATTGCCAGGTACTCCAGGGTCTCCTTTAAATGGAATTCAGCAGAAAGCAAGAACTACCCAATGTCTTTTGCCTCCCCGTTGGTATTCTGAAATACGTTTCTTATGACGAGGAAAGGGTTCACACAAAGCTACTTGAAAAGTATTTCCCTCTTCCATGCAAGTAAGTAGAAAATATGCCTCAACATCTTCCTTGTTACTCATTTCCATGAAAAAAATAATTATAATAAATGCCCAAGCACATTTTCAAACTTTTCTCCCTCACCATGGCAGTTCCTGACGAATCAGACTGATTGTTTTCTTACAATAATTACCGTGAATCAGGCTCTCATGAATCTCGTAACAGCTGAAGAGCATCTTTTTGACATTGTGGAGCATAATTAGAGCAGAGCAAGGCTTTTTTCATGTCTGAATAGCAGTTAGTCACACCGATGAACTCCATCGGAGCACCCATTACAACGCAACGCCTCTGCTGACGCTCACCAGACCACACTGCCTACTGAAGTTCACCAGGAAAACAAAACAAAAACCCCCCCAAAACCTA